ATGTTTTTCACCCTTCCTCTTCACTTTCTCTAAATATCAAACACTCTTCTCTAAAATACAGGAAATAGGGGATGTCCAGCTCCATTAGCTAAGAATGGTTTCAGAAAGAAAATGGCCTTTCCCCCTCCCACACAGCACAATGAACTTCTCAATGTCATGTGCCATTGTAAAACTGTTCCCCATTACCATATTGTTCTATGGGCTGTCCCAGTGATGTCTTCTACTCTGTGCACCTTCCAGTTTAGCTTAGGAAATTTGTGGAATTAATTTCAGAACTGGTAGGCGCGTTGTTTGCCACTGTTTTGAATGTGCACCCCCACCATCTGAAGTGAGGCAGGTGGATACAGGGGGGAAAGGCCTTTTTGGCTGCAACACTTCATTTGCAGAATTCTCTCACCATGGAGGCATGCCTAGTCTCTTATGTGCTAGACAGGAGACCTTTTGATTTCCCCAGACTTTTAAATTCCAGTGTATCTCTCTTTCACACACACAAAAAAATATGGTTGTTTTTAGCACTGTTCTACCATTGTGAGTCATTGTATTGATCTTTTACTGTGCTTATTGAGTAATTGTAAACTGCCCCGGAAATTTCTGAATGAAAAGAGGTAGTATAGAAATGTTTCAAATAAACGTTGTTGTTGTTTTTTTGTGTGTGTGTACACAATGAAAACAATTGAAGTACTAGTGGTTTTATATTGTGGTTTTATGCTGTAACTTTCCTGACGCTTGCAGATATTGGACGTATATAAAATAAATAAATAAAATAAAATAGAAGAAGTGGCAGCCTGAGCAGAAAAATGTGCACTGCTCCAGGAGCGAGGCTGGTGAGAGCTATGGTCCATGGAGATTCTGGACTGAAGGGAGGAAGGCATTTGGGGCATAACAATCAACATTCTTTTGTTTTACCTAGAGGCAGGTTCCCTTTCAGTTTCCTCGAATTCTGGGTAAGTAAGGCTTTCTCATCCTCGTCGCTTATTGAGGTTTCTATCATGTCCATGTAGTCCTCTCTCTCAGCAAATGCATGGAACCTGAAGGGATAAAGTGTTTCAATCTGTATGCAAAGGTTATAAACAGGCTTCAAGAGAGCTGCTATGGAGCAGTGGCTAGAATGTCAGAGCAGGCAGACCGAAGTTTAAGTCACACCTCAGCTACGGTCTACTGAGTGATTTGGGGGCAGTCAGCCTCTCTCAGCCTAGCTTACCTCACATGGCTGTTTTAAAAAATATGAGGGAAGAGAACACGTTTCACTTTTGACTTCTTAAAGAGAAAATAACTGCAACAAATAAACATAGTAATTTCCACTGGTTGTCAGGCTCAAGCACCATCAGGATGTTCTCTTTGTACTCTTTTATCACCAGAGTTTCATAAAACTCGCAGATGCCCATAACAAACTGGGGGTTCGCGTAGCATAACTTGCATTTATCAGTTTAATAGCAACTCACAATTGAGGCCTCACTCTTTTCGGCTTGCTCTACTGTTAAGCAGAGCTGCCTTGGGCTGCTGATTTTGGATGTCATGAAAGGCACTAAATGCTTGTCATTGTTGTGTTTTTTACTCCCAGGGAGTAACTTGGTCAAGTTTGAGTACTATGTACCTTGAATAGGGGAGAGGGCCATTTACTACAGTGGTACCTCAGGTTACAAACTTAATTCATTCTGGAGGTCCGTTCTTAACCCGAAACTGTTCTTAACCTGAGGTGCGCTTTTGCTAATGGGGCCTCCCGCTGCCGCCGCGCCGCCGGCACGTGATTTCCGTTCTCATCCTGGGGCAAAGTTCTCAACCCAAGGTACTACTTATGGGTTAGCAGAGTCTGTAACCCAAAGTGTTTGTAACCAGAAGCATTTGTAACCTGAGGTACCACTGTATGCTGCATTGGGCAGCTAAACATCTTGGGCTGAACCTGCTCCACCAAACTTTGTTATTTTCTTTTCAGAGAGACAGAGGAAGGGGGAAAGTGACATATTTGGGCAAAAAACACAAAGAGAAAGCATGCCATCTGCAAGGATCCATATCTCCATTTTCAAAATAGATTTATAGTGCTGAAATCATTTACCTCATACCTGCCAGTGGTCAGATGACTCAGCTCCTTTAATAAAGCAATAGTCTCTTCTTCTCGAGCATTAAAAGACACTGTATGGACTGGGCACGGGCACCCCGATATCTTCTGCAGGAGCAAATGTCTCATGCATTCTGCCATATCGCCCACAGTGAAATAGTACACAGCCTCGGTCTGTGATGGACAAGTCATTTGAACCATGAAGCATATTTTGTAACATCCCCCCCCCCCCGCTTTTCATTTCTATCCCCCCATTCATCCAAGGAGCTAAGATGGCATACATGGTCCCCCCCGCCCTCCTCACAACATCCTTGTGAGCTAGGTTAGGCTAAGGGACAGTGACTGGCCCAAGTCCATGGCTTTGTGGCCAAGTGGGGATTTGAACCCTGATCTCCCAGGTCCTAGTCCAACACACTTAACCACTACACCACACTGGCATCTCTTATAATAGCAGCAATTCAGCCCAAAGGGCTGCACAGGGAGCCCCACATGCCCGGAAGTGTTAGGGAAACTGGGATTAATTGGAGACTTCCTGGCGTAATTGTGGCTCACCTAAAAAAGGTTGCAGTGCGCCAAAGAGGTATTTGCATCGCTTAACTTTCAGATAGGTTCATCGAAACTAGGCCTATGCTTCAAAGCCCCTTTAGTGTCATTGAAACATTTCTCTCTTGCCTGCTCCGTGGGAAATTCTGCTCTCAGAATGCAACGCTGTCATGCATATATGATATTGGTAAGAACCAGCCTGCAGATCAACTTGAAAGAAATTCCTTCTAAATAGCCCCCAATGTTCTTTTATTAGCATGTATTATCCCCGTCCATAATTCATGTCTGTAGCACTTGCAGTCAAAACTCTCACGGGGATATATCCCTAGACATAACCGAAGACTTCTAGAAATGTGTGAGAGAGATTACCGTGTCATCAAACAAGGCCTCCATGATCGCTTCCGTGGGGCCCGAGTGGCAAACAGCTGGCCTGTACTCTATCGCCCACAGCCACTCGACAGCCGCTTCTATAGAGGCCTCCGACACAGGAACAGTTTTCTCTTGCCACTTTGCAAGATCTTGAGCCCCCCTGGAAAGGAGAATAGCTAAGATATCTAGAGAAATGGCAAAACTTGTCTTTCAATAACAGCTCTGGTAGACTAAAAAGGGCAGCAAGGAGCATCTGTCCCTGTCAAGGTTTTGTTTGGAGATTATTGGGGGGGGGGTGGAAGGGGAAAGGCCTTTTCCAGTGTCTAGACAGACATACGATCTGGGTGCCAAATGTCTGTGGAGTTTCCCAGATGAATTACTTCGGTCGGCATTCAGTGAAAAAGTCCCGCTCCTTCTCCCAGTCTGGCAGAGGTCAAAGAGAAAGGGAAGAGGGGCCTGAGCATTCAGCACTGATCCCCGCTCTTTGAGCTAAAAATCTCATCCTGAAATAATGGTCACAGTGGGGCCACCACCTAGACTTCCTGGAGAATAGAGTCAGTAGATTGCCCTAACCCCATCCCCAAAACCAGTCTCTTATCCAAAATGCCTCTTTGGCCCCGTGCAAATCAAGCGCTAGGCAGGACTCCTCAAATCCCAGATTTGGCTCCCCAGGCCTGTAGTTGCTGACCCTTAGCATAAACAAACATGTTTTCAAAAGTTAACATATACTTTGTCTGAGGGAGCAATAGGTGCATTAGCTATAGAGAATAAAGTTGGGGGGGGGATATTATGGAGGTACTAAATCTGACCTCAATTATATCTACTTACTATGGGGTTTGTTTTTTTAATTATTGGTCTCTAACATAAAATCTGTGGGACCTGGGTGGCGCTGTGGGTAAAACCTCAGCGCCTAGGACTTGCCGATCGCATGGTCGGCGGTTCGAATCCCCGCAGCGGGGTGCGCTCCCGTTGCTCGGTCCCAGCGCCTGCCAACCTAGCAGTTCGAAAGCACCTTCAGGTGCAAGTAGATAAATAGGGACCGCTTACTAGCGGGAAGGTAAACGGCGTTTCCGTGTGCGGCTCTGGCTCGCCAGAGCAGCTTCGTCACGCTAGCCACGTGACCCGGAAGTGTCTGCAGACAGCGCTGGCTCCCGGCCTCTAGAGTGAGATGAGCGCACAACCCTAGAGTCTGTCAAGACTGGCCCATACGGGCAGGGGTACCTTTACCTTTAACATAAAATCTAGCTGGCCTTTGCAGGAAAATGTGTGTTGATCAATGCTGAGAGGAAACTTACTGAATGATGTTAAATCGGGAGATTTGGGCCACTTGCTGTTTGAAGACCATAGAAAGCGCCTCTCGACACAGATCAAACTCAGCTCTAGAAGCAACACCGAAATCCAGAACAATGGTGATGCTCTGTTCCTGAATCACTCCAAATATTTGCCGGCTTTCTGTGGTTAGCCATTCCATCCTTTGTTTATACAGTTCGATAGCTCCAGTAAGACAATCCACAAAATGAAAGAGGAGGTCTTTTTTGGCTGTCAGCTGCATTTAAATTTTAAAAAGAGTGAAGATGTCAAAATCAAGACAGGGAATAGTAGGGATGGAAAATGAAGAGGATGTGCATCAAGGCAATTACAAATGCAAACACACTTTTTAAGAGCTGGCAAACCTCCTTGATGGATCTGTACTTTGGTATTAATATTTTATTGAAAAGGGTTCGATTATGAAGAAATAAAGTGATGCAAAGAAAAAGAGAATGAGAAAAGAAAAAAAGGAACAAAAATGTATAGAAAAAATATATATGAATATATATGAAAAACATCCTAACCCATACATTCTTTTATAAATTTGATATTATCCTAATACATATGTAAAGATGAATGACCTACTACATTTTCTATAAACTCGTTCCAAATATTGTCATATTTATCCAAACAAAGTCTACGTCTGTAAGCAGTATGTTCGTAAGCTGCGAGTGTTATCATATTGTTGATCCATTTATTAAAGTGGATATCTTTATTCCTCCAGATCATCAACATCAGTCTCTTGGCTACCATAAGAGTGCACAGAATCACATTTTCTCTACTTGACGGGTCTCTCCTATCCTTGCCTTCTGATGCAAAATCCAGAACAGGGTCAAACTGGAGCCATTGTTTTTCAGCAAGTGTTTACCATCAAAGTACTGAACAAGCATCCAAAATGGTGAGCACAGCAGCAGTCCTTGAGTGGAGAGAGAGACAGGGGCATGCTCCCAGCAGTTGTGCCACTGCTAGCTTAAGAGAGCAAAGTGATGGCGAGGTGGGAGGAGCTCCAGTTTGGTCATAGAAGCCATACAGGGGCATGTTGGGCCACCACCAGCAACCAAGAGCTCCCCCAACCTTATGACCGCCTCGCCTGATCCCAATGAGCAGCAGTACTGCAGAAGTACTCAGCAGCAGGAGGGTGCTGAGTGGGGCAGCTGTTCGCAACAGCGCTGTGGATCTCTGGAGCTGTGATTCACACACATCTACCACCCAATCAGCATTTCACAATGGATGAAAAGTGGCAAAAAAAATTATTCAGTTTCATGGAACGTCCAAACAATACCAGCTTCTAGCTCATTAAATCCTACAAGACCTTGGAAAAATTCAAGAGAGGAAGTCCTGATTCTGAAAATAACCCATGTCAGTAGTTTTAATGTTGTTGAATAATATACGTGCTGGATCAGCAAACCAGTATCGGTTATCGAACACCTCTCTGAAGCTAAGTGACCCAAGGCTCATTGTGATTACTTCCACTCTGTGTTCTGGAGGTAGTTCTCCCCAAGCCCAACTTCAACAGGTCAGCAAGAACTCTGGAAGCAGAGTCCAGATTTAAAGCGCATCAAACACAAACTTTATATAGCCAGAGGGCAGGTTGTTACTACACCCAGCCACCACCTCATCCTGCCAATATATAATATTATCTTACCCAAAATATATATTATCACTCTGAATCCGCCACTTACGTTATACAGCTTGCCGTCTTCTCCTGTCATGTATTGACGATACAACCCATTTGCGTATCGAGAAGCCACAAGTTTCCCCAGGATGGATACATAGTCTAGAATAAAAAGAAGTTGTACAAGTGCTGTCTCCATCATGCAGGGTCATTATTATTTTTTGCACCAATTCCTTGCCCGTTTATTTAGAAGTGAGCCCCAAAGGATATCCCATACACAAGTTGTTACTTACTGTTGAATGCAACAGGGCTTATTTCTCCAACTAAGTGCGCAAAAGATCAGGCTGTGCATCGTTCAAAGGGAAAAGACTTGCTGCACATCATACCTTCTTTGTGCTGAAATCCAATCTTGGATAAAATCTGAGAAAAGGTCAACTTGTTCCTTTTGAGTCCATGAAGCTGAAGCCATTTAGGGGAAGAGATGAGAAGTTGCACATCCAAGTCCCACTGAACGCCATAATCTCTCCTTTCTTTTCGCTCCAAGTTCTTCTCGAAGGCAACCAGCGTCTTAGGTTTTTCAGGATCTTTTTTAGGCTTCCCACCAAAAGTAACTTCTGCAAAGGGGAAAACGTGCAAGCTAGGTTTACTTATTGCAATCCTTTCGTCTGCCAACTATCTCATCTCCCCCTCTCACCTCATTTCCATGGTACTCTACTGTATTCTCATGACTCCTCCTTTTTTAAACAGAAAGCATTATCAAAAAGAGAAATATTTAAAGAAATACAAAAGCCTCTCCCTTCTTTTTCTGTCTCTCTTTATGTACAAGAAGATACATGTAGAAAAACATTCCATACATAGAGCTGAGTCTGGAATTAGACTTAGGAGGTTTTATGTTACCAAGGTTTGCACAGAGACATTAGATACATTCACACAATACATTGAAAGCACTGTGAATACCACTTTATGCAGTCAAAGACACAACATAGCTCCAACAGAAGTTCCATGTGTAATTTTATTAATAAAATATCATAACCTTAGAATACTCACGTTCACTCCATGCAAGCCGTTTACCTATGCCGCCAGTCATTGCAACCACACTGATTTTTTGCTTCCTTCTGTGTTCCCCTTAAAACATGAATAAAAACACATGGTTGTTTTTTATTGATGCCATCCAACCAGTAAATCAGGTCTGGTCTCGATGCTATAAATTGAATTTAAATTTAAATTAAAGTTAGCACCAGCTCCAACAGCTTTTATTAGCCAGAAACCTAGTCCTCCCACTTACCCAGGAGGAAGCCCCACTGAATTCAACAGGACTTACTTCTGAGCAGACATGGTTAAGATTGTGCTGTCTACTTATTTATTTCAAATATTTCTATACCACTTCTCACTAGCAAACCACAGCGATAAAATGGTTACAAAAAGGTAACTTGCTCGTTTATGGGAAATGAAATAAAAAGAATGTTTTAAAAATACCACAGCATTAGTAATAAACATTAAAGAACTTACTAGGAGGTGAAACCATGGGCAACAATAAAAAATGCCTAAAACCAGAGGAAATACAGAATGTTCTATGTACACCAGGATTCAACCTGGTGCCTGAAAGAGATAACAACTGAATTGGAATACTGAGGAGGTCAGGGAAGCAAGGTTATGAATATGATAGGAAAGATGGTGTGTTTTTTTTTAAATCTTTTTCTGTAGATTCTAGGGGCATTGGTGCAAGGCAAGGATCTCTAGTGAGGTCATTCTATTGTCATCTTGTTTGGAGAAGAGAAATTGGAGAGAAAAGCTATGGTTGGTGAACTAATGGTGAAGGCACAGAGGCCCCCAAGTTACCTGGGCCCCCAAGTGAAGCTTTTCCCAACCGTGTTGGAGATGGGATCCAGATATCCTTATCAAATCACGGCAGCTGTGTTCTGCACCAACTGATGCTTCCTGGTCATCTTTCAAGTCACACCTAAAATACCACTATAGCAGTCTAATCAGGAGGTGATCACGGTGTGGCTAACTGTGACCCACAGCATTCCTGTCCAGCAGAGGCTGCGGTTGGTGACGTAGGAAGGAGGAGGTGCTGTGGACCAAGGCTCTAGAGAACAAAACTGGATCCAATGGGAACAGGGAACCAAGAAGCGAACTTGACCCTTCGGGGTGGGGTGCAACCCATTCTAGAGCAAGTAGAATGCAAACTCCCAGAATATAAGAACCATCTACCCACAGCTTTCCCCTCTTGTTGGGACTGGGCTTCAGTTAACTGGCCCTCGTCCAATGAAAAGCAAAGCTGAGTGTTATCAGTATGCTGATGGTGTCTCACTCTGAACCCCTGGTTGGCCCTCTGAAGCAACTTTAAAGCTGACTGGGTGGCTGAGAGGTTGGTAGGGAGGAAACAGGGAACTTTCCTTCAGTCAAATTCCTGAAGTTGTCTTAAGATCCAAATTCTAATGTGTATTTGAATTATAATTACTATTTTGATTTATTATCCGCCCATAAAGGCCCTGGGAAAGTTACAGGGGTTTAAAATGCAATGATGAAAATAGTTTAAAACAGACTGCAGGCACAATAATTGGGTGGGCCCTACAAATGTATGTTTTGGGTGCCAAAGACCAGAGTAAAGAAGTGAATCACTCTGGCCTCTTCAGTTACCTGGCAAAATGTTATTCCAGTATTCCAGATCCACATACCACTGTAGTCACTTGGGCAACTTTAAACAAGAAGACCAGAACAACAGGGCTAGTGATGCCGTAACTAGGAAGCCCTTCAAAATGCCCTATATGTGCACAGAGGAGGGTTTGTGCAAACATTTACCCTTTGGCTGCGGTACCAAGTGGTAAGTTGTGCATTTTGCCTCCAGGGAGACAGAACTCTTGTCTCTAAGTGTCAGCTATAAAACATATGAATCACCGCAATTTATTTACCCGTGTGATGGATTAGGGCCTGAATTCAAGTACTTTGATGCCGTGATTTCATGTTGCAAAATCCCTGTGCAAAGGTCGCTTCCATAGAACAATTTGCATGAATTCCACATGTATCCCATATGAGATAATGTGTGTGAAATGCTTTAAATACTAAGTACTGATACTTTATTCTGTGGATCATAATCTGTGGTGATCCCACATGCATGAACATTAACTGCAGCATGTATGCTGATTGAGTCTGCAGTCAGTCTCGGTTATTTATCTATGTTCAATTGCCACATCAAAATTATCTTACATGGAAATCACTTTTTTTTCCTGGAAAGGAGCCCTGAGTAACATTGAACAAGCCAATAGAATCCGCGATCAGAAAGAGGAGAAATATCAAGAAGATTGGAAGAAATTTAAGGAATATCTAGCTAAATATAACATAAGTAGAAATACTTGCAAGTATTAAATTGGTTTAGGATTTAAGTATGTTGAATTGTATAATACTATGGATTGAGATTAAGATGAAAATAAAGGAAGTTAGTAATTTGAACTAGTTAATTATATCAGAAAGTGAATATTGGATAATTGCTAAAATGAGATTTAATGAAAATCAGTTAGGAAGGATTCGAGGAAGTCATTTAATAATGGAAATTAACTTGGATTCTGATTGGAAGGAATTTTATATGTTTGTTTGTTTTTCTTTTTATATGTTTTGTTTTTTTGTGTTGTGTTGTATTTGTTATAAACTTGGAAAATTAATTTTAAAAAATTGGGGGGGGGGAATAGCTATCATCCTCCATTGCCCAGTTTGTAAAATGGGAATAATAAGGACCAGCCTTACAAGGTGGCAAAAAAGAATGAATTGTAAAGCACTTTGCATAGTTATATATTTATTTTACATTTATATCTCATCTTTTTCTCCAAGGAGCTCAAGGTGGCATACACAGTTTTCCTCCTCATCTTATAAACACAACAATCCTGTGAGGCAGGTTAGGTTGAGAGTGACAGGTCAGATGTCACCCAGTGAGCTGAGTGGAGGTCTGAACCCTAGTCTCTCAGGTCTTAGCCCAACACTCAAGGCGCTATACCACATTGGCACCAAAAAGGTGCTGTGATTAACAGTATTCATTCACAAGAGAATCTACTAGGAATCACTGCAATCCAGTCCTTCTAATATAACATGGAAACCCGAGCTGGTGACTCCATGGCAAATGAAATCCTGCGATAAGCACTGTAATTCAATAGAGTGCAAAAGTCCCGGCTACCAGATCCAGATGCCATGCTATTTTGATAGCTGTTCAGA